AATCATTCCTAATGACATTCATGTTAAATTTTATTTGCTTTTAACAGGGTTTGAAAGATGAGATTGAATCATTTGGTGCATTAAAAAAGAAAAAAACTAGTTTTAACCTTTAAAAATTATTTATACTATATTTAAAAGTTAAAGTCATCTTTTATTATCCTTGGTGTCTCTAGTAATGTAGCGAAGAAGAATTTCTAAATCGTTTCAATCTTTACAATTTTAAATGAGTATAAGAACTTGTTTATAATTTGTGCATTTTATTACATTGCTAGTGATTTGGATGTTAATATATTTTATAGTTATGTTTTCTACTTAATGTTAAAATTTTTTATATTATCTCATATATTTAATAGTGTTAAAAACCGATCAATCTAACTAAACTATACCGATCTGATTTAAGTTGGATTGGTTTGATTATCATATAATAGTGAATTGGATTGGTTTGAAAATTTTATTAACCGATTAAATTGTATTGATTAAAAAATATTAAAATCTGAATCAAATCACACCGAAAAGACCCCTACTCCTAATGGTATGGTCTGAGTTCAGCAATATCGACTCATGCAAAAACTCCCAAAAGTTACTTTTCCCCATCTTCCCTAATACTCCATCCATTCTAAAGTAATATATGCTTTTTAATTTTATATTAAATATTTAGAAATAATTTCTATTTTTACCTCTATTACAAAAAAAAAAAAAAAAAAAAACTCAAATCACAACAAGATAGATAATTAAACTTAGGAGATAATGATAAGGTTAAAGTAGTGTTTTAAAAATTGACCTGGAGATCAAACCGTTTTGATCTTTGGTTCTTGGTTTAGTTGGTTTAATCGGTTCAACCATTCAAATCACTGATCAATTCAAATGAATAAAAATAATATTGTGTAGTACCATGACATAACAGGTGCAGCGGTTTTTCTGGTTTGTGACCTTGCCCATTGTGGAGGAAACGCAAGTTAGCATAGTCTATGCTAAAATGTAATTATAGTATTTTTAATTTTTAATGGGTTTTTTCACGTGTAAAATGTATAATATATGTAATTTTTTAATTAATTTATATAAAAAATATAAAAATTGATTTTAAATTAATT